TGTTTGGTTGGTTGGTTGGATACTTCTCTTATGCACAAATATACAAGTCAAAGTTATCTATGTGTGTAGCATTTTAATAAATGAATATAAACTATAATAATCTCCTGGGTTTTTTAATCCACCATATGGAAACCACCTAGTGAAACTGGTAGACAGCTCTTGTTCATCCCATTTTACAGAGGAGACTGAAAAATGACTTGATAAGTGGCTTACTTAAGACCACACTCCTCATTAGAAGTAGAATCGGAGCCAGAATCCAGGTCCCCTAACTCGCAACCCGGGCCCTTTCTTTGAATTGGGAGGCATTTGTCTCATCTTGATAATGTGAAAACGTATCAGAATTTGGAGGGAGTTAACAATTACTCTCCCATATACTGAGCAGTTATACCAGCACTGCCCGTTCACCATCTTGTTACTATACCACCACCATAACCTCTGCTCACCTCGATTCTGCTGACTCTGAATCCTGCATCCCCACATGAAATGTTTTTTTCTGCTTCATAAAGTCTCATAACCAAGCAGTCGCAGCCTACTACCTACTCACCTTCGCCATCTACAAAGTGGCCCTGATCACTCACCCCTTGCAGTCCTTGTATATCCATCCCATCCCACCTCCAGTTTGCTTTCAGGCTTCTCTCTCCTTACATGCCCAGTCCTACAAACAGCTTCAAACTCCTCAACCAACCTCCACTTTTTAATGACCCAGACCAGTGCTGTCCAACAGAAATATAATGCAAGTCAAATGCCAGCCACATATGTAATTTTAAATTTGCTAGTAGCCACGTTTAAAAAGGTTTAAAAAAACTGGAGAAACTATTTTTAATAATATATTTCATTTAACCCAAACCCAACCCACTGCTGTCAAGTCGATTCTGGCTCATAGTAATCCTATACGACAGAGCAGAACTGCCCCATAGGGTTTCCAAGACTGTAATCTTTATGGAAGCAGACTGCCACTACTCTCCTGCTGAGTGGCTGGTGGGTTCAAGCCTCCGATCTTTTGGTTAGCAAATGAGCGTTTTAACCACTGCGCCACTAGGGCTCCTTATTTAACCCAGTATATCCAAAATTTTATTTCAAACATAATCAATATAAAAATTATTAATGAGATATTTTTCATATTAAATCTTCAAAATTTGGTGTGTATTTTATACTTACGGTACATCTCAATTCAGAATAGCCATCTTTCAAGGGCTGAATAGCTACACGTGGCTGCAGCTATTAGTTGCCATCGAGTCAATTCTGACTTATGGTGACCCCACGTGTGCACAGTAGAACTGCGCCATACGGTATTCAAGGCTGTGACATTTCGGAAGCAGATGGCTAGCGCTGTACTCAGAGGCATCTCTGGGTGGGTTTGAACCACAACCTTTTGGCTAGTAGTCAAGCGCTTAAGCGTTTCCAACACCCAGGGAGTCAGCACAGACCTAGATGCTCACTTCAGTGAAAATGATCTCAGACTTTCATAATGATTGATTACTGCTGGATGGGGGTATGGGAGGAATTACGGGTGATTTTTTTTAAAATAACTCTTGCTAATCAGTATTTTTTCTTATTCTACAACAACTGTAAATTGTGAGGTTCTTATATTAAAAGTTGTTATTTTAAATATCTTTGCTATGTCTTCACATTCATGCTCTAATACAAGTTATGTTTTTAAGAATGGCACATGTACTATCAGCATCTGTCTTGACTCCAACATACCTATCCATCTACCCATACCTAGCTCCCACCTACTCCACTGTCTCAAAATATTCTCCCTGTTCCTGTGTTCTATTCACCTTCTCCCTCTGTGGATCGTGAGCTGTGAAGGCACAGACCACCCGAAAGAAATATTTTTCATACCTTCACCACCTCTGCACAAACACTAACCCAAGCACAAATTTTAGTTCAGCTTTAGTAGCTCTGGGGAGCCCTGACAGCATAGTGGTTAAGAGCTTGGCTGCTAACCAAAACATCAGCAGTCTGAATCCACCAGCCACTCCTCAGAAACCCCATGGGGCAGTTCTATTCTGTCCTACAGGGTTGCCATGAGTCTAAATCAACTCAATGGTTTGGTTTTTAACAAGTTTTAGTAGCTCTGGGGTCACTGGAACATGCCTCAGAGAAGAATTCAAATTCAAATTACAGAAGAATCCCGTCTTCGGTGCTGCTTCAAAGTTATTTTAAAATTAGGCTTGTTATTTACTTTTACTTAAACTCAGATACATTAAAAAAGCTATCACATGCCCTTTTGGAGCCCTGGTTGCTCTGCAGTTCGAAACCTCCAGCTGCTTCTTGGAAATCCTATGAGGGCAATTCTAACCTGTCCTATAGGGTCGCTATGAGTCAGAAGCAACTTGATAGCAATGAGTATATGTCCCTTTCTGGTTTACTGAAAAAGTAACTGTCCTAATAGTTTTGCACAAGTACAAGCAACTTTTTTTGTTTTTAATCAAAGAATTCAATCCTTGCCTCAAAGATTTTGGCTAAAATTATGGGTTTTTGTCTTAAATACAGAAGCAGTCTAGTCACCATGTCCCTGAGTGGCACAAACACTTATACACTGGACTACTAACCAAAAGGTTGGCAGCTCGAACCCACCCTGAGGCACCTCGGAAGAAAACCGTGGTGATCTACTTGCGAAAAACCAGCCATTAAAAACTCCATGGGGCACAGTTCTGTACATGGGGCTGTCACCAGCTGAAATCGACTCGATGACTACAGGTTTCCAGTCACTAGAGAATGTGAACAATCAGGTGGCCAAAACTTAAGCAGTTAAATGGGCTAGAATTAGAAAACTAAGGCGTAGTCACTGATTTTAACTACCAATAGATTTTTTAATTCATGTTAGTTTGGTTCCATGTTGCTCAAAGTGTATGCCATCCTAATAATGACAGGTTTGCCTTTCCCCCTCAAGCTTTGAAAGATGGCATGTAGAACACTGAACTGGATTTCAGTCCTCACTGCCAGTTGCCAGCCAGCTGATCTATGACCTTGGGTGGTCCATTCACCTCACTGGCTTCAGCCTCCCGGGCTGTAAAAACAAGGATGCCAGCAACGCTCTCTCGGGCTGCTTCCAGCTCTGTCACTCCTGACCTTTGCGTTAATCTTCCTTGATTCCATTATCCCCAAAGCACTCGTTTCCTCATGTATCCTCCCTTTCCTAAATGAGAAGATGGCTGGCAGCACAGCAGTGAAAAGGAAAAGAAAATCTGTTAAAAAAAAAAAAAATCCCTAAATGAATCACCTTTCAAGAATTTGCCTTCTCTGGTGCCTGGGTGCTTGCTCATCGTGCTAATTCAGTTCTTCGAATGAAACTGGCTCTGAAAACCTGGTATTTGGTATGTGTACTCTTTTTGAATATTTACACTATACACTCATCTCTTTTAAGAGCCACTTGTAGGTACAAAACAATACTGAAATTATGCATCAAACAGATTACATCAGTCACATCAACTTTGGTTGAGCCTGGAGAAAATTAGATCAAAACCCCAGAGGTCTCTGCATCAGCTTTTGATAAGTTAGAGAAAATAAGTACAGCTCCTGAACTTTCCAGTTAACAGCCCCAGGATCCTGCAGCACCCTAAAATCTAGCCTGCTACAAGAATTACTCCCTACCCCTTAGTGCTGGTGGTAGGAACGCCCAGGACAGCCTTCTCTCCTGCTGATCCCCTCACCAAGGCTTAAGTCAGAGGACAGCTGATGTTGGTTGTAGTCTGTGCTGCTTCCTCCTTGCCTGATTTTTCATGCTGCCATTTTGAATTAACGTAGGTTTCCTCTGCAACTGATGCGTCTTCTAGCCAGGCCTGGAACACAGTAGCTCCCCGCCCCCCCCAAACACACACACAACCACCACGATCACCACTACCACCACCAGCCGAAAGCTGGACACAAGACTGCAAGCCAGAATTAAAGAGAAAATCCCGAAAGGCCATATTGTTTAACAGAACCCTACCAAGCGAGCTTTGAGTCAGGGCAAATGACATCTCCACGCACATGAGTTAATGGACATATTTATCCCTAAGCCCGAGCTCTTCACAATTCTCTAATGTTCAAGCGTCTCTCATGCTTCGCAGATCACACTCTCCTCAGATCTCATAAATGATGTCGCTGATTTCTCACAGGTGATGTAGCCAAATAACTGGCGCCCCGACAGCCCAGCGAACTGCGCCCGGCAAAGAGAAACTGAGGTGGGCAGGCATTTCAGAAAGATACGAATGCCTTTTACCTACAAGTGCCCCGGCGCCATCGCGTTCACAAACCCTGACCCCGCGAAGAACCGCCCCAGGTGCGGTACGCAGGAAGATGGGTCAAGACCCGCAGCCCGTAAGACCCGAGCAACAGCCCCTGCGTTCGTCCAGAAGAGAAGGGCAGGCCCGGGGCCCCATTCGGCGGTCGCGGACGGGGTGAACGCCCGGCGCCCGGCCGGGCCAAGAGCAGCCATGTTCGCGGCGAGCGACCGGGGCAGGTGCGTTACCTCCGGGGAGGGTGCCAGGCCGGCTCCCTCACTGCGCTGCGCCGGAGCGAGCCCTGAACCGCGGGAGCAGGCGAGGTGCAGAGCGGCCCGAGGGATGGCGGGTGGCAAGCGCCCAGGCACACGCCCCAGCCAGGCAGCAACTTGGCTGCCAGGAAAAGCAAACCCAGGAAAAGCAGCTTGGGGTGTTCTAAGAGTTGTAGGGAATAAGGTTGGGGTTTGGAGGGCGGGGGCCAGGTTCGAACCTTGCTGCAGTGCCCGCGCCCCAGGTGGGGCGACCCTCTCCGGTGCTCGCGGTGCCAACCCCCCGATCACCCCACCCCAGCATCCCGAGGCCGCCTCTCCCCAGAGCCCCCGGAGGCCCCAGTCCGCCCGAGCCGGCACCCGCAGGGATTCGGCCCCGGGGAGTGCTACCCGCGGGGTCGGAGGGAAAGCAGGGGGCGACTAGGAATGGGGGACGGCCATGGAGGAAAGAGGTGCAAACCCGCCAGGGCAGCGGCGGCTGCAAACGCCCTGCACTCCAGAGTCGGGGCCCGCGTCTCACCTGCCGGGTGGCGGGCTCCAGGCTCGGCTCTGCGGTGCGGATGCTGCGGGTGCTGCCGCCGCCGCGGGTGCTGCCGCCGCCGCGATCACTGCGCCCGCATCAGAAGCTGCAGCTGCAGTGGCGGAGGCGGCCGTCGGCACTTCCCCCACCCCAGACACCCCGCGCCCGCGCCCCGCCGCCCCGCGCTAACAGCTGGCCCGGCTCACGTGACCGCCGGCCCACCCCCTTCCCTCCTCCCCAGCGCCGGCCCCCGGCAGCTCCCCACCCGCCGCGTCTGGGCCGAGGTGGGGCCGCAGCGCCACGCTCGGCCTGGGAAGGGAGGGCGCGTGTTAGCGGGAGAAGCAGCTGATAGGGCGACTCTCACCACGGAAAGTGGCCCCCTCTATCTTTATTTCTTGGTCAAGACCCCGGTTGTGGCTCTTTCCAAAGGGAGAAGCTGGTTTTTAAGGAGTCAGCCTCCGCTTCCTCCGGGCGCCTCTCCCGGACACCGCCTTCGGTTGCCATGTCCTGGCCTCCAAGCCTAAGCAAGATTTCCCCGCGTGCTCCCCAAGGACGCGTCCTGAGCCTGTTGACTCACTGTTAAGGCCGTCTCCCTGGTTTTAAAGGTGCCTCCCTATATATACCATGTTGATAAGCCAGACCTTATGCCGGGTCCTTTGGTTCTTATTATCCCCAATTTATAGGGCAGGAAATTGAGGCTCAAAAAAGGTTAAGTAACTCACCCAGGGTCACACAGGGAATAGCAAAGCCAAGATTCCACACCCAGGTTAATAAATCTACATACAGGTGAGTGTGTGTGTGTGTGTGTGTGTGTGTGTGTGTGTGTGTTGATGCTGGAGTCAAGGTCTTTGGTCAGGACACAGCCTTCCCACTGTTGCCAACACACAGACTCTAGCTTTTATAAATTAATAAGACTATCTCAAAGGCTATGAAGAGATGGTTTACAGAAAAATAATACCAGTCAGGGACATGAAAAGAGGTTCAAGCTCAGTTAACTGGAAATCTTATATACAAAGTAGCATTTTCCCCAGCCTGTCAGATTGGTAGATATCAAAAAATTTTATAACATCCGTGGAGAAAAATTTGGCAATAGCTCTCAGAATAACAAATGCATGTAATCTTTGTCTCAGTGATTCTACTTCTGGAATTTAGCCTACAGATCTATTGACACAGATGTGAAATAAGTGTGTGCACGATTATTAATTGCTACATTGTTATGCTAACAAAGATCAGAAACAAATGTCCACTAATAGAAAACGATTCAAATAAAATTACAGCACATCAGTACAATGGAATGTTATCCAACTATAAAGAAAAGAAGAACAGTGAGGAAAATCTCTATGTATTCATAAGGAAGGATTTCCAATCCGTATTAAGTTGGGGTGGGGGGGAACCCAAGGTGCAGAACATTGTGTAAGCATGTTTTCATTTGGAGGAAGAAACACTACGTGCCTGCATTTATGTCTGCAAATGCATAGGATATCTTTGGAAGGATGTTTATGAAACTGGCAACAGTGGATGCCACCACGGAGGAGAACTGGATGAAGGGGAGGGCAGGAGACTTTTTCCCATGCCTTCTGAATAGTGTGCCTATGCTTGTGATTTGCCACATGAGTGAACGAATATTGGGAGAGGACTGAGGGGATCAGTGCAGATACTCTGGAGTTGGTTCATACACTCTTGGAGCACAAAGGGACTTTATTATTCATTTAGTCCAATCGAGGAACCTGTAGTCCAATGAGTTTAAATAATCAGTATTAGAAATTCCTAGAGGGCTTGTTTCCGGGCCCTGACCCAGATCTACTGAATTCAGAGTCTCTGGGGCTGGAGCCAGGGAACCTGCATTTTGTCAAGCTCCCTAGCTGATTCTCTTGTATATTTAAGTCTGAGAACCACTGGCTTAAATGCCTAGTTTAAGCGCACCCAGTAAGTTACCACTACTAGAAAAGCAGGTCCCATTCTGTGCCTACCTGGAGCTTTAACATGTCACTTTTCATATAAGGCTGGAGGCTACACACTTTTCGTGGCAGCCATGACCACAGTATACAGACATAGGAGCCTGCAGGTGGACCTGCCTGGCATAAAAATCTTTGAAGCCCATTGATGTGTCCCTACACAGCCATAGGGGCTGCAAGGCCAGGAGCCTAGGACTACGTGAAGATAGACACCTGATATCCCCAGGATCTGCATGAAGAAGCTTATTATCATGGTATTAACATTTATTAAGCAGCAGCAATACGTTTTGTCTATGCTTTGTGTATGAGAGGCTGACCCTGCTGCCATTCAAGCCTCACAAATAGAGATACGAGAACAGAACACCCTAAGAGATACAGACAACACCAAGAAATATCAATAAGGGCTTTGATCATTGGCCTCTACCAAATGTGAGGTTTAGGTGTGCGCAAATTGCAAGGTTTCTATGAGCTAGCTTGCAAAGAAAACAATTTGTCTAAATAACCTGCAGTTGCATACAGTCATTTATACTCCATCTAGCCATGTTTAAAGATTTAAGAGTTAATAAATAAAAATACACCAGATATACTTTTTTTCCACAGAAGGAGGGGAAGGTTTCTTTTTCTCCAGAACAAAAAAAATGGGTTGGGGGGGGGCCTGCAGGGGAGTGATTTCCACTTTTTATGCATTGTCATGCAGAGGTACTCATGAAATCTCTCTCTAGTTATCTGTATCAGGGGAAAAGCACTATGGAAACATTTCTGGCTCTATTTACCAACAGTAATATGAAGATGAATTTACTGAGGGGACCATAAAATATTCAATTCTGGAAGATCTTGAAAATGTCAAAGCTGTATTTCTTTACCCAATTTCTATCACTATTAAGTTTTTTCATAGATTTTTAGTTTATCCTAAAAGTGAGTAATCTGTTGGCCAGGACTGTAAGAGGGGAAAAAGATGGCCTAACATGAAGGAAAGTGGCCATTCCAGTTGAGGGCCAATTTGGGTTGCGTCTCTGTCATAGTTTTCCCGAAGCAGACAGTGAGATACTGGATTGGTTTGCTAGGGCTGCCATAACAAAATACCATAAATTGGGTGACTGAAAGCAACAGAAATTTATTCTGTCACAGTTCTGAAGGCTTGAATTATGAAATCAAGGTGTTGGCAGGGCTACGCTACCTTTGAAGCTTCTAGGGGAGAGTCCTTTCTTGCCTCTTCCGATTTTTGGTACCCTCAGGTATTCCTTGGCCTGTGGTAGCATCACTCCAACATCTGCATCCGTCTTTACATGGTCATCTTCCCTCCGTGTCTGTCTGGTTCTGTGTCTTCTCCTAATCTTATGACACCAGTCACTGAATTTAGGGCCCATGTTACTCCAGTATGACCTCATATTAACTAATTACATCTACGAAGACCCTATTTTTAAATAAGGTCACATTCACAGGTACCAGGCATTAAGACTTCAACATATCTTTTGGAGGAACAAAATTATCCTTACCATGTGCAAAATATATTCACACCATCCCACATTCTCAAAAGTTTTAGCCCATTACAGCATCAACTTTAAGTCCAAAAATCTCACCTAAATATAATCAACTCAAAAAGTCCCGTATTTTTCATCATTTCTCTTGTTGTCGGGGGCTGTCAAGTCGATTCCAACTCATGGCGACCTTATGTGACAGAGTAGAACTGCCCCCATAGGATTTTCTTGACTGTAATCTTCTCAGAAGCAGATTGCCAGGTGTTTCTCCCACAGAGTCACTGGGTAGGTTTGAACCACTAACCTTTCACTTAGCAGCCAAGCACTTAACCATTGTGCCACCAGGGCTACTTTATCTCATCATATATCATCTAAATCAGGTATGGGTAAGACTCTAGGTGTGATCCATCCTGGGACAAAATTCTTTTCCATTTGTGGACATGTGAAACCTAGAAAACAGCTTATCTGCTTCCAAAATGCCACTGTGGGACAGACGTAGAATAGATATTCTCATTCTAAAAGGGAGAAATTTGAAGGGAAAAAAAGGTCACAGGTCTCAAGCAAGTCCAAAACACATCAGGGCAAATTCTGTTAGATTTGAAGCCTTGAAAATAATCCTCTGTGACCAGATGCTCCGCCCTCTGGGCCCATGGAGAACCTGCCAGCCCGCATTCTGGGTCCTCAGTGGCTGTCCCACCCACTAGAACCAAGGAGGTGGTAGCTTTCCCCCAGACCCACACTCTTGGGTCTGTGGTGATAGCTGCAGCCCCACTGGCCTCTGAGCCACCCTCAGAGTCATTCTTCCCTCTTCTTGGAGGATAACATATGTTCACAACTGAGTAACTCTGTCAGCCCATTTGCTGCCCTTGAATTCCAGAAGTCTGATAGCCTTCCTTCATTTCATCTTGCCTCTGTCTCCTTCAGTCCAAGCTGGCAGTGTTTCTTTCTTTTTTAATAATATTTTGTTGCATTTTTGGTGAAAGTTTACACAGCAGATTAGGTTCCCATTTGACAATTTCTATACAAGTTATTCAGTGACATTAGTTACATTTTTCACAATGTTTCAACATTCTCTTAATTGCATTCTGGTTGTTCCATTTCCAATGCTCTAGTTTCCCTGCCCCCTTATCTTCTCATCTTTGCTTTAGAGTATTGTTGACCTTTTGGTCTCATATATATGTTTTTTTAATGGAGCACTGTACTCACAGGTAATATCCTTTATTTTGTGTGCCAATCTGTTATTTCGCTAGAAGATAACCTCAGGGGATAGCCTCAGTTCAAGGTTTAAAGAGTATCTCAGGGCAATAGCTTCAGGGAGTCCTCTAGTATCAAGTGGTCCAGTGAGTCTAGACAAACTGTCAGTGTTCCTGCAGAGATGGTTGATTGAATTAATGTATCACATGCCTAATCTCTCCAGTAAAAGTTTGTCCAGCCACACCTTTGGTGTTCTCTCCAGAGCATACTTCCTCACTTCTTGCAACATGGATAGGCTGAGAATTGTTCAAATCTTCAAGTTCTGGATCTTTTTTGCTTAATAGTTCCTTGCTCAGTTTATCTCTTTCCTCTCACATTTTACTATAAGCAGCAAGAAGAAACCAGGCCACATCTTCTGTACTTTGCTTGGAAATCTCCTCGGCTAAATATCCAAGTTCATTGCTTATA